TCTAATTAGTTTCTGTAGCACAAGCAGAGCACCGAGTAGAGCTGCTAGACAGTCTGGAGGTAGTAGAAGAAAGATCTCAACACTGTAAGCAATATTATTGGGAACAGAGTGGTGCTCTTCTCTGGAGTGGTAATAAAATAAAATAATAAAATAGTAATAATAATGGATCCTCCAAGAACCAATTCATCTTTTTCTGCTACTTTATACTTGAGTCTTGTTTGGCTCATGTCCCTTGTTGGGCAGGAGTTCTGAGATTAACCAATGTGATGTCAGTGGAGCATCACTCTGCCTTGTGAATAAGCATCCAAATTCTGAACTGGACTCATCCTGTCTTTGCCAATTTGAGGAAGCAGGTTGTTTAAAATCAGCAGAGCTGTACCATACCATTTCAATGGAAAATTTGGTCCTCTACCTACAATATACAAGTTTCCCAATATACAAGTCCTTTTTTGTTTGTTTGTTTGTTTTTGTTTGTTTCTTTGAACAGAATCAAACTTATGCTATACCCAACAGCCTCTCCCTTCCCCAGAGCCTACATTGAACTATTTGCTTGGAGTCTTTCCAAATGCAGCTTGGTGATAGTTTCTTGAGTGCTAGCCAGACCAGACCCAATTTTCATTTCTTTGTGTGTATCTGGAATGCTGTGGTACTGATTTGACCAACCCTTTAAAAATGGCTATACAGGTTTCAGACAGTTTCACCTTTGCCTTGAAAGCAGTCCCCCAACCCTGCCAAAGCTGCAAGAACCTGGCATTGCTGCAAGAGATAATAATTAGACAAGAATATGTATTTTTACAACATATTTTTGCTGTTAAAACAGTAGTCATTTGACTGTTGAGTTTGTAAAATCTGAGACTATACATTGATCATACAATCAAGAAATCTCTTAAGTGGCAGTTCCAGCCCCTGAAAGATGAGAAAGACCCATAAAAACAGCAATAGGGAATTGAGGACCAAAGCATGCAAAAAACCCTCCTACTTCAAATAGATTAAGCTAGTGGATAGCTTCAGAAATCCAAACTACCAGGCAGACAGTACGGTAAGTGAATTTTCAAGATACCAATTGGCTTTTTCACACACATATTGTGTCCTTTTTAACCTGAAAGGGAAAATAAAGCTTCAAAGAGACATGGCCAGCCACAAGAAGGCATTTCCAGCAAATGCATCTGAAGAAGAAAAGCTCTAAGTGTTATGATCCCAGCACAAGTGGCCTGCAGTGCATTTCCACCGAAAGGAATGTCCTTACCTTCGATACTGTAATGCAGCGTGCTTTCGTTAGATTTGAAAGAAAAAATGAAAATGGCAGCAAGAAGGTGATTTGTTTCTATCTGGATTTAATAAGATTAGTGCCTAATCCTCTATTGTGGGTAACAGGTATGCTGCTAAACTAGAAATGACAAAAATCCAGTTGCTTTCAGCTAATCCAGATATAAATGCAATGCATGTGTTATTAAAATCAAATTGCAGAAAGAGCAAATTAGTGAGTGCACAAGTTGTGTTAAGAAATCAGTTTCTAAAATAACAAAAATGGTATGTGCATATGTAGAAGGAATAATGATATTAACTTTTTTCAGCTAAGAGATGGATCATAAAATTATTCAAAAAGTATTTTAAAATTGATACCAATGAACCAATGAAATTGGAGTTCTTATTATCAGAGAGACTAATATGAAAAACCCAAACTTAGGAACTAGATTGTGTCCTCAGGAAATCATTCTCCTAAGAATGATAAGGCTTATCAAGAATTTTTTAGACCCAGCTAGCACATCTAAAGGTCCAACAGAACAACTAAGGTTTCTTCTTCTGCATTTTTAGGCCAGTTTATAAACTCCTACAAAGAGGACTTAGCTGCGTAGACAAGGACAGAAAGTATAGCTGCATTTCATCTGAACAAGGATGCATATGCATAAATCCTGGGATACAGTCCAGTCAGTGACAGTCTCATTTCAATCTGCCTCAAAGGAGTTCCAGTAAATCTGCCTATTATTCAAGCTCAAGCACTAACAACAGCAGCCAATGATGATGAAACTGGAGTCCTCCCACCAACTTCTGGAGCTCATTGACAGCAAGCCAAATGATAATGTGCAGCTGATTATAGAGTATTTTATAGCTACTGTGGAGGAATAGATGGCAGAGTGAGATCCTGCCAGAGACCAGGACCCAAGCAGATGTCCTCAGTGGGCAGAACAGGAATCAGGTTTAGTGGTTAGAGTATGTGTCAATAACCAGGAGTAGGAACCCAAGACCAGAGTTGGAGCCAGACACCAGATGCCAGAGCCCAAGTCAGAAATCAGAGCCAAGGGTCAGGGCCAGGTTACCTGGAGTGAGGCCAGGCAGGAGCAAGGCTGGAATAAGCAAGCACAAGGGCTATTACAGCTGTGGGAGAATGCTTCAAACAACCGAAGAACTGTCGCCGAGCTTTCGAGTTGGTTTGCTGACTCTTCCAACCACCCAGGCAGCCCACTTCAGCCCAGCTTCTGGGAAGACAGCCACACCTTGTCCCTTACAGCCAGAGTAGAGGCAGCCTGATGGTCTTAGTCTGCACAGTGTTTTTAGACTCCTTTGGTAGATTGAAAGTGTTCCTTCAGTTCCGAATGCACCCAATGTAGCTGGGAGGCTAACTCCACAGCAGCTAACACTGGGGAGCTCCTGGCTAAATCTGGGCATAAGCAAGGGTGAAAGTCACCATTTGTAAATAATGGGCTGTGTTGGGTTGAGGTGTGGATTGTATTTCTATATGTGAATTTGGTGTTGCACAGCAGAGGACACTAGTCATCCTGGTAGGTACTCAAAAAGGAGCAGAGATACTGCTCCAGGATTTGATTGACACTCTGCTCACCCTTTAGGCTTCAGGTGATAGGTGGATGTTCTCAGTTCCTGCCACAGCTATGAGATGAACTGGGGACCCCAGCCTGACAAAATGCCCATGAGCAGCAAAACACATTTTCCAAGAAGAACCAAGCCATCTCCCATGCACTAAGGACAGTACACTGCAGTGTGAAGTGCGCCATCTTTATTAAAAGGTTGACAACAACTTGGATTACTGTGTCACTGAAAGCATGGCAGTTCTTCAATGAAGTCCATTGATACAGTAGACCAAGGCCAGGAGGCATGGGCAGAAGCTGGAGGAAACCTTGGGATCTTGATTGTGTGTTATGGGATATGGACACAGAAGTTCCAGGATCTTACGTAATCCTTGGTGTAAGCTTGTAGGCCTTGCAATCTGGGTCTGCAAGGCATGCAGGGCTCACATTACCTCCATCAGACATTGGCCTGTGAAGAATCCAAGCTTGCCATATCAGCTGTAGTTCTCTTTTTTTGTGTTGGGACTGCTCAGATTGTCAGAGACCAGGAATTGAGTGGTCATGCCCAGTGGTTAGAGCAGGAGTCAGGGGCTAGTCACCAGAGAAGAAATCACAAGTCAGGAATCAAAGTCAAAGGTCAGAAGCCGTAGTCAGGAATCAGAGTGGAGGGTCAGGACCAGATTATCTGGAGCAAGGAAAGCTGGGGCCAAGGCAGGGGGAATGCTGAGAACAAGCAGTCACGGGTCAATGTTTTGAGCAGCTATTGAACTGCTGCTGAGCTAAAGACCCAATCAGGCACTTTACTATGGCTGGCACTCTCATTAGGTTGCCCAAAGACCACTCTGCTGCAGGCCATGCTTCCAGACTGGCTGTACATACAGATTCCTGACAGTATGGTCTGGGAGAGAGAGATGATCCTTTCTCCAACTACCAACATCTCCTTTCCATACACTGTATGTCAACAACATAACAGGAGAAGGTACACTCAGGACTCCCCACTTCATCTTCTCGGCAACCCTATCGATTATATCCTTGCACAGAGTAAAAACAAAAGTGCTCCCCTGGACCAACCTCTGCAAGGATCAGCTCAGTTCGCCAGCTGCTTGCTAGATAATTCAAGTTTCACCTCAAATGCAAAAGAACTCCGTCTGCTTCCACGTACCGTGGGCAACATTATCAGAGAGCAGCACCATGGGTAAAGTGACTAACAGTCTGATACATTATTAAAGTGGGCAAAAAGGACAACAAAAGCAAAGCGGGCTGATGGAAGAGGTGAAATATTAATCTAATTTGAAAGGCGAAGAATGGCATTTATAGATACAGCTGAGGTGAAAACTGTGCTTTGCAGGAGAAGCATTAAACACATGCAAAAGGTCACCTCAAGGCCAGTTCCAGGAAATCTGGGGTCCCTGGGAAGACATTCAGCCGAATTCCCCCAATCCAAGATCCCATGTATGGCCATCTTTCTCTGCCCCATATTCCTCTGTGCATGGGGCAAGCTAAGGCTATGACTATTGCTACATTAGTGAGCTCACAGCAGTGCATTTGCACCATGCAGCTGTATTGCTGTCAGCTATCCACTGTTGCCACTGTAAGCTCATTGGCGAGAGCTCTTCCCATCAACGTAATTAATCTATTTCCAATGAGCAGTGGCAGTAATGTCAGTGGCAGAAGCTGTTCTGCTGATACAACACTGTCCGCACCAATACTTAGGTTGATATAACGTATATCACTTAGAAGGTGGTTTATTCACCCCCCTCCAATAGAAGCTGTTCTGCTGATACAACACTGTCTGCACCAATACTTAGGTTGATGTAACGTATATCACTTACAAGGTGGTTTATTCACCCCCCTCCATGACATAAGTTATGCCAATATATAAGGCAGTTTAGCCTGGGTGTTCATTGCAGAGTTAGTCCAAGTTCTCAGCATTCGACTTAGCTCCTCTTCAATTAGCCTCGCTGGACTAAGAACAGCCACAATGCAGAATCACACTCTTGCTTCACAGTGTGGCAGGATTAGCCGCACAGAATAGCTGCATCTCTACTGCACTATTAGCTTATTCGTCAGCAGCACTCACGTTCTAGTCCAGCCCCTTGATGGGCCAGCTAGCTTGACTTTTAAATTAAATTCCACAGAGATTTGAGTGTGTGGATGGGAGTTGGGCTATTGGTGATACTTGTGTCGTGCCTCAAGCTAACACTGCAAGAGAAGTCAAGGCCTCAGTGCCACGGAAAGGGGGAGGGGAAAAGGCATGCATAGAGAACTGTGTGTGGGGATGGGTGTGCATGGATGCCAGGGGAGGGGGCATTGGAGGACTACTGGATGGTTTCCTGTGAGGCTGTAGGAAGGAAGAACCAAGTCTGTGTTCTAGTTGGGGCTATGGTAGAGGGGTGATATCCCAGTTCCTGAGCCGGACTGAAATTATCACCATCACTGAACCAGGCAGCATGAGCAGTAAATTTCATCCTACCATTGATGGGGCCATCCAAGACTAGGACACCCCCTGTGGCTGCTGACTTGGTAATACTGTCTGCACCTGCTCTGTGTCTTGGAGAAAGACTATGAAGAAGCAAGCAAGTGCAAAGGCTGGTTAGTCAGAGTAAACAGGTCTGAAGATCTGAACAAGCAGTCCATTGGTGCCAACCGGAGGAGCATAGGTGCAGGAATTAGAGACGAGGGAGAGGGGGGAGAGAGGGTGCTGTAGCACCCCCTTGCTTGAAGTGGCTTCCATTATATACAGGATTTCCAGTTTGGTTCAGCAACTCTCAGCATCCCCACTGTAAAAATGTTCCAGTGCTCCTATAGAGAAGTTGGGAGGAGCGGAGTGGGGCGGGGGAGGGGAGGGGGGGACGGACGACAAAGCCAGGAGACCATTGCACAGCCACTAGTAAGCTATGGTCTTGTACTAAACCAGTTCAGCTGCTGCTAAAGTTTCCAGAGCATCACTCTGGCTGCAATGCCAAAATCTGACCTGGCTGCCCCCGGTACATGTGAAGGGGTACCCAGGCCAAATTTCAGTGACTGGTGCTTGGCCTGGTATGTGGGGTCACAGAGCCACTTAGGAGCTCTCTCTATGGAGAGCTGGGAGTGTGATTCCCAGCTGGCACAGCATACTACTAAAAACAGCAACATAGCTGCAGTAGTACAGGCAGCAACAAGTGGTGGCATGGGCTAGCCATGCCGAGTATGTGTACACTGAGTTCTGGCAGATTTGTACTCAGCAGGCACTAGCCTTTGTTGCTGCCCATGCTACCACAGTTACACTGCCATTTTTAGCTGTACTCAGCAGGCGCTAGCCTTTGTTGCTGCCCATGCTGCCACAGTTACACTGCCATTTTTAGTGAGCTAGTGCAAGTATTTCTATGTGAACCGGGAATCACACACCCAGATTTCAGAGCAGATATACCCTCGTATTTGGCCCAGCAGCTCTAGGCCAGGTGGTGTCATGACCTGGCATGCAGGGAGTGTTTCTGGATGTCAGAGCACAGGTGCATCTGCTGAGATCTCCACTCCTGTCAGCACTGGCTTGTGCACTGTGCATGTAAGAGAGTGGAGACTCCCCAGCTGAGGAGACCAATAGCTGCTAGAGGGAGGTGGTGAATGGAGAATGGAATGGTATGGCCTTGTTGGGTAGGGGGTGAGGGGAGAGCAGGGACCAGAATATGCCCCTTCAAGAATGGTACCTTTCCAAAACTCCAAGACTGTTCCACTGACACAGCAAATCTGTGTGCCCCTACCTCAAGGCTCTAGTTTGAATCCCAAACCTGAACTTCTGCCCCAGAACCTGTTAGGTGTGGGGAGAATATGGAGCAGATACCTCTGCTGAAGAGTGGATACTGCTGACCCAGAGCCTTTTGGGGACAGTTATAGTTTTACATATGAAAAGAATATACATGAGGTAAAATGATCATAATTTTGAGTAGATATTCCTCACACCCTGCATATCAAGTAATTTTGGACACTGTAAAGTTCCTACAGAGAACGACCATTCTATGAAGCATACATCCTTGAACATCCACATACCACTCCCATTTGTATTGTATCTCTTTAAACAAATATATTAACTACAGGAATTTCATCTTCTGTTTTTATTAATATTTCATACCCATTGCTCTACATAAATAATATAAACAACAAGGAGTGAATCATATGGCATTTGGAAAGATCTTACTCCCATAGCTAAAAGCAGTTATCACTTTGCTCTTAATAAACTCCAGCTGAGACAGAAATGTGCAAGGAACAAGATCAAAGGTGGGTAAATGTCTGGCTAGAAAGATATGACTCTGTACTCATTAAAACTGCTGCTTTTAACCCAAGAATAATCCTGGCAAAAGTAGAGGACTGCCACCAACAATGCTGATATTAATTGATCCAGAAAAGGTTCAGAGCAATATCTCTGTGCAATTTGTATATTTCTAGCAGGGCCAAAAACTGGCAGCAAAAACAGGAACAAGCACCAGTACAATTATCTTGAGAGCCAAAAATGGAGTCTGTCAGGGCACAACCTAATGAGCCTAGAGTGAAGAACTGAGAGTACTAGTTACCCATGGTTCAAAATGGACAGCTACCATAAAAATAAGGCTGTCAGGAGATAACAGCAAACATGTGATGTATAATTCGAAAGTATGATGAAGAGGGAACTCCACTGCATTTATGTTCACAGAAAATGGAAGGCTTACACTATTTACAGCTAGATTGTATAATCCATGATTATACTACTCACATCATAAGAATGACTACTAGTTAAGTAAGTGCTCTAGTATAAGTGCTGAGAGAGTTTCGGTTGCACAACCTACTTCTTAAATATAAAAGGCTGAGAGGTATTAATCAAAATTTTGTAAATATTGATATTATTTTTATCTACATTGAGCTATCTGTGTGTATATATTTTCTGACAGCCTAACATGCTCTCAAGTTCATTGTATTTCAGAATTACTTCCAAGTACTTTTTCCTTTCATTAGAAAATTGACCTGATTATACAGGTAAATTAATAATTAGCTCTATGAAATTTGGACAGTAAACCACTCCTTCCCTATAGTATATATTACAGCAAGAGGCTTAGCACTACATTCTGCTGTCCTTACTCACTCTGTGTTATACCTTATGAGGTGACTCATGGAATAAGATATTACTCACCATGAGTAAGAGTGATAAGCTAGGCCCTTGCTCTGGAACTGATAGCCAAATCCCTCATTCTAACTAAGAGACAACATATTAAGACTTGACTTTAAGGAATCTTTTTATAGACAGAATTGAAAATAGTAAAATGCCAGAGGCATGTTAGGAATTCAAAAGTTTATTCAAAACTGTGCTATGAAAGATGGGCATTTCATCCCATCTTGCTGCCACACATTTTCACCACAGCAAAAGCTCAATAGACAGCCCTGATTTTTAGAAAGGTAAGAAAGTGCTAAGCCCATTGGAAATTTGGGAAGATGTCACCCACCAGAGGCTGTTTAGAGTTCAGTTGTCTGACATCTCTCAGATCAGGAGTGCTTGACGACAGGAATGTCTTGGTCACAGGCAAATTTAGAAATTTTTTCCCATTACATACTTGAGGAGAAAGCTTGGAAGAACAATAGGAAGAATTAGAGAATAATTCTGGGGCTACCTCTTGAGACATGCTATTTGGAGCATTACCCCGGCAAACTTCAGAAGACTGAATCAAATTGGAATTAAGGGGAAAGGAAAGCAAGTCCACTGAAGATGAACGAGAGCGAGAAGACAAGGGAGCCAAAATGGCTATATTCCATTGAGAACGTTGTGGAGAAGGACCAAGAGATGGAGGGAGAAGCTGATCCATGCTTCTTCCTATTTTCTGTTGCATTTGTGTACGCTGGATCCCTGTAGATGGCAGAAGGAGTTCTGGAATACTTTCAAAGGAAGCATGGAGCTTCTTATTAAGGGCTTGAATCTTTATTTTTCTTAAAATGTGTTCTGGGCTAGAAGAACTTAGATCTAGGTGATCACACATCATGTCAATATTGCTCAATGATGGAGTGCTTTTTGAAGGAAATAAGGCACTTGTAGGTATTAGTGAGGGAGAATATATTCTTCTCCTGTCTCCATTATGTTCTTTAAAGTCCATTTTTACTCTGTTAATAGGAAAATGTGAACTTATTCCATTTGAAACATGAGGAGAAGGAACACGTGGTATCTCCAATTCTGATTTCCTAACTGGACTACATCCTTGAGAGCGAGACCCTTTGAGGGATATCACATCATTCTTTTTTGATCGCTCTTGATGACCAAATCTAAATGGAGAACGTTCCAAGATGTTTTTTTCTCCGTTCTGGGTGTGTTGCTCTACCCGGGATCTTGGTTTAGAAATCCTAATAATGGGAGGAACCAGTCTCGGCTTAGCAGAGGCTAATGGGTTCACTTTCCGATGATGTAATGCTTGGATGTACTGCAGATTTGGTTTAGCTGAGGGTTGTGACTTGGAAAAATTAGAAGAAGGCTTAATGTTGGATTTTGGTGCTGCATCTTTGCCAGTAATGAAGGTTGCCAACTGTTTGGCAACAGAAGCGTGATTCTGCTTAGTTGGAAGAACAGGCGAATTATTAAGATATTGTTGTACCTGGGAGTAGAATTACAAAATTATACTATTAAAACACACTATTCTAGGACAACTAGTAATAATAGATAAATATTCTTTCTGGGTAATAATTGGGAAAAGGGGAAAAGGAATGCATATAATCCAGAGATTGTACTGCATGCTTGCACATATGTATCTCCTTCAATACTGGCCAATAAAATTATATACAGTATTCATACCTCATTACTTTAAAAATACTCACTACAAGATGCTATTGCCTGTTTTTGCACAAAAGATTAGCAACAAAGATTGTGTTCCTTACAAGCCCAAACCAACAAAAACTAGATAGGACAGTTCGTAAAAATATAATCTCAACAACAGGAAAAAACACCCTTCCAGTGCACCAGCAGCTTCAAGTTCAGTACTCAGCTTGAATGTGGACAATGCAAAGGAATCCACTTCAGAGCTATTGAGTTGCACTGGGCCACTTTTCATCCAGCGTCTCTCATCATAGTAATAATTACAGCAGAGATGCCCTAATGCTCCTAGTCTTGGGCCTGGTTTCAGGAATTCTCAATTCTAATTAAACTACAAAGTTAAACAGGGATGGGCATTCTGCGATTCCTACCCCTTTAGCATTCCCTCCCATATATTGTAAGTGAAAAGTATCTTCAGTGTGGCCTGGGGTGAGGAGTTGGGAAGGGGAGGGAGGAGTCAAAGGAGAATCTAGACCCAGAAAAGTAATTTCAGTGACTTTCAAAGAGAACTATGTCCAATCCTTACTCTCCATCCATAATATGTAAGTTTGTGGGGGCAAACAAGGCACAAATGGACTAATTATTTCCTACCTCCTTTGCCCAAGCTGGCTTCTCACTGGCATTCATCCCCTCCTTGTAATGGTACAGTGGTTTCTTCTCAGCTGGCCTCTGGTCTTGCCGTTGCTGCTGCTGCAGGGATACTAGGTAGTCTCGCTCCTGTTGAAGTTGCCTCTGCAGCCGCTCCGCTTGTCTCTGCTCCTCTAACTGTTTGCGCTTATACTCCTACCCAAGAAGAACACCACCATAACATAGGTGTGAGACGCTGTACAGGTACAGTCAGGCTAACGTGCGAGGGACTGAGAGCGATCAGATATTTATCAGTTTGATGAAAAATAAACCCAAATGGAAAGTATGGCTTAGACCTACAAAGCCAATCAGTTCTTAAGCCCATGGATGTTCAGTGAAGGAGAAACCTTAAAGAAACTTGAAGAGAGGCATATTCTAAAAGCTGGAACCAAAAAATGCTGAAAAGTTTGAATTCTAGCTTTGACACACTTCACCAAGCTAAGCTCTCATGTGGAAACTGGGGATGTTAATGAGGGATGGGAAAGGTTAACCCAGTTAGCATCATCCTAAATGGGTAATGTTTGCCAGTTTCAGTTAGCCGGGCAGGGGGTTGCTCCAGCCTTGGAGGGTCCACCACAGGTAGGGGCCGGACAGAGCAACCCCTGTCCATGTTGGACCCAGTTCGCCACAGATTACATGCTGGCTCCTGGGGAGGCGGCTTCCCCATTGCAGCAAAGTTTCCCCTTGGCAGCAAAGCTTCCCCAGGAACGGGGCAGCAACTCTTGCCGGCTTCGCTCCTGGGGAAGCAGCTTTGCTGAGTCACTGAAGCCTCCTCCCCAAGGGTGTGACAGGCAAGGGCTGGAGGCCCCGCCCCCAGGAAGGTTTCGCTGTGGGCTCTGCAGTATAAAGCTTCAATAAGCTTATTTCAGCTTTATACTGCAGAGCCTGCAGCGCACGTCACCACTAAGATATTCAACAGTTAACACGGTTACTTTTCTAAACGACGTTTTACATCCTCAATGTTAATAGTTCTACCTGAATGTTGCACTGCAGAAATCTATTTGGACCCCTTGCTCACACGTGTGAACAGCTGCTTGCCCATGTAGTTCCACTGAGGTCTAGTAGTCTGAAGCTCCCCCTCCCATCTAGACCTGGTGCATACAGTACAGCTGTAGGGCTGTCAGCATAGCCACACCCTCTTATGCTAGGTTTAACTGGGGTCCAAGAAAGAGGGCTATCTATGTACTAAGTGCATTAACTTCAATTGCTGTGGGTGAGATCTTAAAGCCACATTTCAAATGGGAGGTTGGTATCTAAATCCTCTAGGCCACTTCTATGTACAAAGAATAGAATCAGGTTCACACCGAGCTGACCAAACTGAAATCCATTGAATAATCTGAGATCCTCACTGGATTTGTAAATTACAACTGCTTACCACCAGGTTTGGCAGAAAGAGACCCACCTTGCGAGGTGCTGAAAGCCTTCATTATGTACCGAAGCCACTGGGAGTTGATTGGTGGTCAGCACCTCAAAAGAGTAGGTGATTGTGGCAACAGTTGAATTGCAAAGCCAATTAAAGGATCTCTCTGAAGCACTGGGGCTTTTTAAAAGTTTAATTAATAAATCATTAATACTTAAGTACCTCTTAAAAGGAGGGATTTGTGCATGTTCCCTCTTTTTCTAAATAAAGCCGATGGAAACAGAGACCAATAAAGAGCTCTGTGGTATTGAACCCCCCCCCCCCCATAAATACTGATAAATATAATTCTCGCTTTAAACAAAAAAGGGCAATTCAGGATATAGTGCAATATAAAACATTGTCTAAAATGGAAACAGCATGAGAAGGGAACACAAAATGTTCCTGTCAGGAAAGTACAACTAATAGTTTGAAAATGAAATATGGCTCTCAAATCTTGTAAAGCTGAGTGGGTATGCAGAGTACATTTCAGTTTGATTGTATTCCAGCACGCTGCTAACGGCCTTAAAAATTACTCTGCAATAAACTCAGTGGGGCTGAGAAAGGGCCTGCACTTCTAATGAAGGTGAAAGCACGCAGACATTACAGAGATGGACTGAGTGAGAAAGGAGCTTGCAGAAAAGATATCGAATTGATGAGGAGTCACGGAATTGAGAGGAAAAAACACAAGAATTCAGAGCGTGGCTCCCTCTACATTTATGAAACAAAAAATCTCAGTGTGTTATTCTTAGCAGAATGGAGCCTTAGAGAATTGTGTGGTTATGAGTTTTATGGGTTTAATTATATACATGCAGCAGGTGATCGTATGCAAGTTACAGCACAACCTGACTTGTTATGTTAGCCATTCAGAGGGCATGGGGACACACTGGCACACACAGACAAGCACACTACAAACAGAAAGTGGGTAAGCAGGGTTGTGGTCTCCCCATTACCAGAAGTAGAGCTTGTTCCTGCAGTAACTGCTGCTGCAGGATCTCTAACTGTCTCTGCTCCTCCTCTAACTGTCGCCTGATGTACTCCTGGAGACATGGGCAGCAAGGATCGGGGAAAAAAGGAGGGAGGGAGAGAAGAGAAAAAGAGCCAGTAATTCCATAGAGGAAGGACTGCTGTAGGAAGGGTAGCAGAAATACTAAGGGACCCTGTGTCAAATGCAGAGAGATTCAACTAAAAAAAAGAGAAGAAGCAAAGAAAATTAATTTAAACTGAAAACTGAGAATTTCACCTGCCTGCAGCTGATTGAAATGACACAAGCTTTACATTCTACTGCATGGAAAAAAAATTGTAAATGGTACAGCTATAATTTTAGGGGCAACATTTTATTCTGAGTTATTCCAGTGTAAATGGAGATTAACTCCATTACAGACTGTGGAGGTACTTTGGATTTACACTGGTGTAAGTAAGGTCAGAATTTGGACACTGGTGGGTAGGTTGTTTTTTTAATTAGGAAGGGAAGTGGTTTTTAATGGTCAGAACCAAAAAGTGATTTCTGGGGGCCTTCGAGAATTTCCACCTCCATCTCTCCTTTCACTTTCCTTATCTGTAGAATGTAATCAGTGTTCCCTGTAAGCTGAGTGCTTGGGTGGCAATCCAGGAGAAATTCAGGTGCCCCCCATCTGATTAGCAGTGTGCCCATAGCCAGCAGAATGTGCTTCTATTGGTGGTGCACATCCACACTTGCCTTGGTGCACATAAGAAAAATTATTCCACACATGGATGGAAACAATTAGAGGCAACATTGGATGTAATGTATGGCCAGGTCTACACTACTAAGTTTTGTCACTGTAGCTATGTCTGAGAAAACGATACCTCACAGCTGGCATAGCTATGCCAGCAAAATCCCCATTGTAAACATCAGCATTACTAATGTCATTTAAGGAGGTAGCCTAACTAGACTGACAGAACAACTTCTTCTATTGACATTAGCTGCATTTACAGGAGGCAGCTCTGCTGGTATAGCTATACTGGGAAAGCACTGGCAGCATAGACAAGTATTTCCAGCTTTGCTATGGCATTTCAAGTCTTAATTAGTTAGGGGACAATCTCTCAAAAGTTTGCTTGTGGAACACTCCAGTATAGGTAATGGTAGTTCCAATGAAGTCAATGGGCATCTCACACACAGTTCTTGAAGAAGGCAAGATCTTTAGTGCTTACACAGTGTCTTGAAAACATAACCCTCTGTAAGTTTTGCAGTGTTATTAGAAAAGCTGAAAAGGTCTATGGCAACTATAAATTATGCTAAATGTTGCTCAATGGGACAGCCTCCACATTGTGACATACATCTTATTTTTCATAAGGAGGGGGAATGAGGGATAAGAATCTTCCTCTACTCTTTTTATCCTACTACTCTGAGGAGCCAAATCTTCTGTGAGCTATAAAGAGGGAAGTTGAGGCAGAGGAGTGACCAGTTTTGTTGGGAACCAAGGTCAAGTACTAGAGACAGTAGTAAACAAAAGCTTTATATAGGGGAGCCTGGGAGTGGGAAAAGGTATATTAAATGGCTCTGGAATTGATAGCCAACAAATATAAGAGAATTAACACAGTGAAAAGCAATAAACACAGGATTAGCAATTAAGCAATTTACTCTTTAGTGATGAAAGTGATGGAACATGAGAGCAATAAGTAGATTTACTTTTAACTTATTCAATTAATTGTAATTCACCACTGCTCCCAAAAAACTAAAATATCACTACCATAGACAATAATCCCAAGTGGAAGCAATTTTGACCTCAGACTTCAGCATTTGATGTTGGGGACTGATTCACCTGGAATCCTCTGCAGATTACCTGCTCGTGTTCTGCACGTCTTCTCTCTTCCTCTCGACGCATCTGCTCTTCATAATGTCGCCTCTGCTCTCTCTCCTGCTGCTTCCTCATCTCTTTCTCTCTTCTCTGCTGCTGTGGATAAACAAACATACAAATGAACAAAAAAAAAAAAAACCCCCACACAAGATAAACTAGAAAGATATTCACAGATGCAAATAAAAACAAACCCTCCCTCAGTTAATAAAAATATTCTTGTCCTTGCTTTTCAGAAGCCATTTTACATGATGATGGTCTATAAAGGCTAGATTTTCAGAAGGGCCTCCAAAATTGTGTAGGAACTTTTTCCTCGTATTTTTCCTCATATTTGCCCTATGAAAGAAACAAGGGGATCTGTTATCCACTCAGCTGCATGTGTGACTCCCAATGAGTTCAACTGATCTGTGCACATACGTGACTGACAAGAATAGCTGTGTCCTGAAAATGTACGTACAAATATTAAAAAAGTGATGTTGCAGGCTGCCAAAATCATGACATTTCAGAGTACATCAGAAACACAAGGACAGGATGGAGGCAGAAAGCGTGTGACGGAGCAGCCTGCTGTATTTTGCCGGCAAGCCTTAATAAGGCAAACACGTACTTGGTTGCATACCCGGCCAAAACCATAGGGCAGCTTGGATGTTGCTCAGATTGGCAAGAATGGGGTGCTTGGTGTGGTTTGTGTGAAAAGAAATGCTCTTCCAGCTCATTGCCATTTCATAGAAGGGCTGATGTCTGAACTCTGAAAGGCTTGTGGGACAGGTTTGGATGCATCACAATCTCTTCTGTATGCTTTGCAGACAACAGCTGCAATTCAGAGCCTGTCTGCATCTGTAACCACACTGGTCACCAACAAAAGAGCTAGACAAAGGTGGTTTAGTGTTGACAGACATCCACCCACAGTCCTTGTTTGAGCAATGCTGCACACAGGAAAAAAAAAAAAAAAAGCCAGCAGCTTCATTGAACACAAGGGCACTATTCCCACCCACTTTTGAAAGAAAACAAATATAGGTGCCATATTACTGCACTTTATAAATAAATGAGACTCAAAGGGTGGGCCTGATCCTGAGCCATAACAGGAGTCTTACTGGTGTGAAAGGGACTATATTATGTTGGCCATATCAGACTCATTGCATGGTCTTTTTTTCACCAAGTTATCTTGTTTGCTAAGAAAAATAAAGCTGTTGGTCAAGTCATTTGAAGATCAAACTGCTTTTTATGTGGTGGATTTGCACGTTTGCAACCTCTTTCCTGGAAATCGATATGGCTTTCTAATTACATGCCACTCAGGTTCTACATGCAGCACATATACAATATTGATTGCAGTGAAGGGTGAGATGTGCTGTCGATGTGCCCTATGTGCTCCAAGACAGAAAAGCGAAAGTGTAAAATAATTAATTAGCGATGGGTTTAACTGGTTCAGCCACCTCAAATATAAAACTGGCTGGCTTTCATTTTCTGCTGCACTGTTCAAAATGCATTTCCCAACCTTCTCTACTTGTGCCAGGGATGTTAGCATGTACACACTTACACAATTAACCGATAAACCTGGGCTTATCGGTTAATCCTACTGACTACAGACATACACCCCTTGCTGCCTGTTACAGAGGCAGCAAAGTGGGTGGGTGGGAAGTGGGAGCTTTTAAGCTGGTTCCCTGCATGTGCTGGCTCCTGTGGAGCTGCCTGCTTCCCGCCCCACAGCGCTGTTGCCTCTAAAAGGGAAGCTGTCTTTCAAGCTTGCTCCCTGTACATACTAGATCTGTGGAGCTGCCTTTTCAAGCTTGCTCCCTATGCTCTATGGAGCTGCCTCCTCACTCCTCTCCTCTCCTTCCCCCCTCCCCCCACTGCTCCATAGCAGGAGGGGAGGGGCAAATGAGAACCAGTGTACACAGGGAGCCGGCTTAAAAGCTGGCTCCCTGTGAGCACCACCTTCTGCCTGCCTCCCCTGCATGTAAACATGTAACCACTGAAAAATTCAGCGGTTACACAGTTACAAAAATAAATGTTTGCTAACATCTCTGCTGCTTATTGTATCATCTACAGTACATGTGTCTTTCTACTTGAGGAAACAATGCACCTGCCATGCTTATGTTCCCTTACTGTCACCACTTTCATAATATCACTGGGCACTTCATCAGTCCCCATTCCGAGGGAGGGGGGATGCTAGCTACCACCATCTGAATCACCTGGTCATGCCTTAATTGATGGGAGTGATTTCTTCTAATACAGAGCAATGAAGAGTTCACAACACTTGAGGTGATCTCTCTGGGGCATGGAGGGGAGGTAGGTAACTGAATCTGAGACTACGTAAGATTTAGTATCAAGGAACCTGTTTCTCCTTAACTTTATACTGGTCTTATTCCAATGTAACTCTACTAACTTTACTAGACTAAATCCTGAATTTCATCTGTGGTAAAAAAGAGACAGCCAGGGTTCCCTGTAAGGTGCATGCCTATGCAGGTGCACACCAAGAATTTCAGTCCCACCCACCCATTCAGCAGAGCCATGAAGCTGCGGCCCCAGCTGCTCCTGAGCGTGGGGCCACATGGCGAGTGGCTGCCTCACCCCAGGAGCTCCTGGACAGCAGCTTGTGAAGCAGTTGCCAGATCCAGAGCCTGGGCCACGGAACTAGAAGTAGCACCGTGGTCCAGCTCCAGTGCTAGCACATGGGGCAGCCCCTGGGAGAAAAAAGAGGAAGGCACCAAGGGGTAGGGTGGAGGAGAGATAAATGTCAGGGGGCTAAGAGGAGACAATGAGGGGAAAGGGCAGGAGGAGCGGGGACTGGGGGAGGAAATGGAAGGTGACAGGGATGGGATAAGGGAGGGGACAGGGCGATTCTGGGAGTGGAGAGGGACAATGGGAGCATGAGGAAGGAAGAGGAGATGGGAGGAGTGAGTGTTGGGAGAAGAGGGTTTGAAAGGAGGGGTGGGAATGAAGAAGGCAGGGGTTGGAGCAAATCATATGTGAGGGCGCAGAGGGAGGAAGAGGGCAAGGGGGGCAGGTATTGGGAGGGCAGGGGGAGTGAGGGAAGGGAGAGGCATCAAGAAAGTGCACGTCCCAGGGGGTGAAGCAGAAAGGAAGACATGGGGAGGACAGGGAAGGGATGGTGGATGGCAGGGGATGGAGCAAGTTATGTGTGAGGGCAAAGCGGCATGATGGGAACTGGGGCTGAGGATGGTGAGGGGGTGGGCACCAGGGAGAAGGCAGACAAGAAGGGAAGGGGAAGGCACCAGGAAGATGTGGAGGTAAAAGAACGTGCAGGTGCCAAGGGACTGTGGGGGTGAAGCAGAAGAGTAGACATGTGGAGGGGAGGGATGGGCATCAGAAGACAGAGGAGAGAGGTAGGGGAGAGGGGATGGGGAGGGGTAACTACAGATGATCAGAGTGGAGATAGAGGAGGAGTGGGCACAGGGGGAAGGGAATGCTTGTGCAGAGGTCAGAGAGGATGGGGAGGGGTGCAGGTCCCAGGAAGGCAGAGGGGAGTGAGAAGGGCAGGAGACAGGACAGCAGAGGAGGATGAGGGGTGGGGTGCACAGGGGGAAGGGAATGCTTGTGCAGGGGTCAAAGAGGATGGGGAGGGGTGCAGGTCCCCAAAGGGCTGAGGGGAGAGAGACAGGCAGGAGCCCTGACAGCAGAGGAGGTTGAGAGGTGGGGTGCAGCAAGCATCAGGGGAGGGTGGGAGACATGATAGCAGAAGGGAAATGGGTGAGGTTTATAAAATATTTATTAATAACATGGGTGCCACAGTAGCACACATCCGAACAAGCGCACATGAACTCAATACTGGTGCACGAGCAGGCCCACCCAAAGTCTGCAGGACCCAAGGCAACATGGCTGAACTGCTCGGCCGCTCAGCAGCAAATAAGAGTCCGGGTGGCGGGGCTGGGAGCTGGGCAACATGGGGCCCTGAATGTGCAGTGCCACAGGGCCCTGAATGCATAGGGCCCAAGGCAACTGCCTCGCTCACTTTGCCCAAAGGCCAAGCCTGTGCACAAGACAAAACTCACTCCACTCATAGGAGGAAAATCTTAGGGTACACTTCAAGGTTTTTGCACAAAACCAGCCATTTTTACGTAAAAACTAGGGGAGCGTCCACACCTCAAGGACGCTTTTGTGCAAGTAAATCAGCAGAAGAGAAGGCTTTTGGCAGTACAGTTATTCCTCTCCCCACGAGGAATAACTCCTTTTTTGTACAAGAGTTCTTGCGCAAAACAAGTGTGGATGCTCCTCAGGGTTTTCTTACGCAAGAAACCCCTATCTGAAAAAAGCACAGGTGCTCTGATGGCCATTCACAGAATGGCCATCAGAACTTTCTTGTGCAAGAGTGCCCATGCAGTGCGAACGCTCTCTTGCACAAGAGCACATCGCTTTTGCAATGCGCTTTGAGGTCTGGACGTGCTTTTGCACAAGATGTTTTTGTGAAAGAACACTTCCACAAAAGGCTTCTTATGCAAAAACACTGCAGTATAGACGAAGCCTTACAGTGAACACTTCCCCTTAGGGTTGCCAGATGGCTTCAACAAAAATACTGGACACACTTGACATCACATCACAATCTATATTACATCTTATTTAGAAAATACCAGACATTTATATTTTCTCAATTGATTCCCCAAAGAGAAAGCTCAAATACTGGACTGTCCAGTTTTGAACCGGACACCTGGCATCCCTACTACCGCCTCCTCCCCTTCCCCGAGTTAATGCAATGCAAGTTGGGTTAATGTAATTGCAGGCTAGTTGCATGGGGTCTTGTGGGGGCCAAACTCATCCCTATTGGTAGAGGATGGTGGGAGGAGCTCTTAGAGGGGTCACATGACACTTGACCAGAAGTAAAGGATGTCCATCTTGACCCCTGGAGTACTACCTCCAGGGGTGGGATCTCTTGTGGCATAGGGCGTGGCTAACAGGGGTCAGGGATGTGGCTAATGGGGGTCAGGAGGCATGGCTTACATGTCCATAATTTTGGTTCAGAAAACTCGATCACTGTACCCATGCCTGAGCTCAATATCTGGCTCTATCCTGCATAATTGCTGAGAGGAATGGGGAACTTTATGTTCCTTGAGACCCCTGCTCAAACATGTAGGATTAATACAAGC